CAGTAGAAAGATCTCAAGCAAACAGTCTCTCATAGAAAAGATTCCAGAAGTCAGTCATGTGAGGATTGATGTAGAATACAGAGACAGTGCAGAGGAAGAAGTGACTGCATCTGACTGGAGACTCAAATTCCTACAAGAACTTAAGGTTTTAATCCAATGATTGTATTTTTTTCTTTTTAAGATCAAAAATCTTCACTGAGTTATTTTTCTGGTCTGTGTTTTTATGTTCCTACAAGAATGTCTCACTATCTTGAGGATTCTGACTACATGGCTGGAACACACATATAAACATTATATTTAACATTTCTAGTATCCCCATTCTGAAGTATTCCTCATTCAGGAGACAACATGGTCTTCTGTATATAAACAAATGAAATGATAAATACAGAAAACACCTTCCTTCAATTTTATTGCCTGAATTTAATGTCAACTCAAAAAATGACTATATTATATTTAATATTTCTAGAATTAATAAACATTGATATTCAAGTATGGATCCCATGCCTAAAATGAGAAAATGCCTCTAAAGTGCAGGTTCCCTAGCTTTCTCCATCTCTCCCTTTCTTTGTAGCATCTAAACAAAACAGCCTATATTATTTGAGTCCTAAGTTTTTCCTTGAAGACTTTTAGTTGTTTTTGTTAATGTTTGGTTGCTTGCATATTATTTTTAGTGTAACAATTAACACTTTCTACACAGTTATAAAACATGTCTTGCTTTTTCTCATAGTGCAGGCCTGCATACATATGGGGTCATTAATAATCTCTATATTCCCATGTTCCTTTGGTTTCAGAGACCTCTCTGAGTTCAGTTCACAGCAGTAGCCTAAGCCACTATCTCTCACCATCTCTATCACTAAAATTAGCTCTCTTTGTTTACTTTCCTTTAGATAATTTACTTTATAGATAATCTAATTTTCTATAATTAGATCTAATTTTCATAACTCTAGTGCATATGAGTCTATTTCAGTTGTCTGGCTTCTTTTTCACACCTGATAGCTAGCATAGTTGTTCGATTCTGGATCCTGAAGCTAGGCCTGTTTTATAGATCTTATCAGTGCAGGTGAGCCATTCTTTCATTTCAGGACAACAATTAGAATTTTAAAATGTAAATGAATGTGTCAATGTATAACAGGATGCAAAACAAAACAGAAAATAAAAAAACAAAAAACAAACAATACTACCAAGACTTTTCACTAAGTAATGAGGAAACCATATCTTGTTCAAGACAGTAATTTGTTTAGCTTTCCTTGTTTTCTGCCCTTGGATGAATCCTAGAGTTGTGTTTGAAGATTGTACCAGGAACACTCATACAATTGTGTGCAATTCTATTGAGTCCAAACAGATACAACTGATTGGTTAGGTTCAGTTGATAATGGCAGGGAACACCAGTTTTTCTTCTAGTACAAAACATGAAGTGCTACTGTCCATTATACATTGACACTATTTGGTTTTTAAAAGATTTAGTATCGGAGTGATCATTAAATAAATCATTGAGTAGATTAATAGATATGGATAGATGATGATCCTCATGATATAGAAGAAGAAAGAAAATGCTTAGATGAAAGAAAAAATATCTATCAATAGATACAGAAAACCAGAAAACAATCACTAGGTAAGTAGCTGATGGATAAGTAGGTAGGTGATAGATAGGTCAATGATAAGCAAGTCATAGTTACATACACAGGCAATAAGTAGATAGATTGTATGTAGTTGATAGATCCTGGACATTCTGAGAATAGAACTAGACTTTTACATTTCATTTGAGTCCTTCATCATTACAGTTTAATAAGGCTATTCCTTCATCTGATTTATTTTTTTTGAAACTAAACAATTTAACTATGTGTAAAAAATAAGAAGCAACTCCTTAGAGGTACGATATGTTTTTTGCAGTATTATTTTGTAAAAAGTAGGGAACTGACCCATCAACAATGTGCTAAACATGATACACTCAAAGTGGAATCCAAGATGGGACATTATTTACTTAAGGTGAAGCCAGTTTTTTCACAACAATGATTCTCTACATGATACACACTGAATAATGATGATATTATCAAATCAATTCTTGTAGACATCAAGAGTCATTTGAATGTCACTGGAGCTTTTCAATATTGTTTTATAACGTAATCAATGGAAAATCTTGTTTTGTATTGAATGGTTTAAGCTATACTCAAAATTCACTTTTCTACCTGATTAGATTTGTGATATAAAATAATATGTAATAAACTCTCTAGACTGCCACAATCTTGATCTTTCATTCATTCTGTTACTCACAAGCATACACTGTTGTGCATGCCCATATGCACACACAAAGGATTTTTTTTATCATTCCAGAGCTTTCTAGTTAATTACTGGAAATCTTTCTATAATATTTTCAAATTTTATGCTGTCAGTCAAGTCTATACTAATAGTTTAATAATTTTTTTAAAAACTTAAGTTAATGACTTTATCTTATGTCAGTGCTCACATAAAGAAAATATAGTTAAAAGAGTTCCCTGAAAAGTTTTTTTCTATATTAATAATGCTTTAATTGAGAAATTGAAATTTTTGAATTAAAAATATCTGTGATAAATTTTCTCAAATTATTCTATGATATCAATAAAGAGTACTTGGTGTCACCAGAAAAGCACCTGAGAGCATAGAGAGAGAGAGAGAGAGAGAGAGAGAGAGAGAGAGAGAAATAAATTTTCTCAAATTATTCTATGATATCAATAAAGAGTACTTGGTGTCACCAGAAAGGTATTTGTTCAAAAATATGTCTGTTAAAAGTTTACCTGAAACTCTTGGATTGTATTTTGAAGGTAATGTGTGCAAAGTAACTCACATGCCACATGCATGCCCACAAGCACCTGAGAGCATACACACACACACACACACACACACACACACACAGAGACACAGAGAGAGAGAGAGCAGCAGAGAGAGAGAGAGAGAGAGAGAGAGAGAGAGAGAGAGAGAGAGAGAGAGAGAGAGAGAGCTTGCATGTTTCTACAGTGGCTCTCTGCTCTGGTTTCACACTGATGATCATCTTGCCTTGTTTTCCAGGGTACAGACTTTTCAACAGAAACCTCCTACATACTTAAACTACACCCAACTCGAGATTACACTTCCATATTTTAAAACTGTTTAAAATGTTGCATTAAAAGGTTTAACCAACTTTCATTCTGAAGACATTCAAAAGAATTTGACCTCACCTACTTCTTTCTACAATGACTAGGAAGAATTTCTTGTTGGGCCTGAGGATAGATAGCTCAGTGAATAAACTGAGCAAGCTTGCGGAGGGTGGGGGTGTGTGTCATGAATTCATGTAAAATACCAAGTGCAGTGGTATGCATTTGTAATATTGGAATTCCTACAGAGGGCTGGACTTTGGAGACAGAAAAGTTAGCGTTTATCTCATAGGCTCAGCTTTTGAGCATACAGTACATGGCACCAGATACAGAGGGCAGAGAAGTACCAACTCCTCAAAAGTTGTCCTGACATCTGCATCCATCCTGGTACCCATGTGCTGGTATTAACATATATATAATTTTTAAAGGTTTTTTGTACATATTTTAATTTTGATGATAGATTTATTTACTCCTTGGTAGGTACTGATCTCATAGTTTAGTTTCTTATGGATAAAATTGAATTCCTAGCTGCTTTCCTAAAACATATAAGTATATTTCAAATCAAATCAAATGTTTTGATTAACATTGACTCATCATATTGAGTCTTTATGCCTGCATTTACTGAGAGAACTGGATTTTAAAATTCTTTTCCATGAACTTGTTGAAAGTCTCTGAGTATTACTAATCAATTTATATATAACAAGACCATAAATATGTCCCATAGTTTCCAGGTTATGTGATAACTTTTAATTATATGAATAGGTCATAAGATACACTATTTTATGAAGTATTTTCTACTTACTATCTTACAATGTATAATAAACATTTTAAAACCTCCCATCTTAGCCAAAAAGGGGGAATATGCCTTAACAGTTCTAAAATAATTTCTTGCCTATTCCCTTTAAACTTTTGAGAGATTAAAAATCAAAAACAAAACAAAACAACAACAACAAAACACTTAGCTCTTATTGGTATGGGATTTCCTAGATGTCTTGGAATTTCTTATGTAGATTAAGCTGCCCTTGAAACTACAAGTTCTGAGATTATAACTCTGTCCACCACACTTGATTTAAGCATAGTCTATTGCTGTTACCTTAGGAATCCTATCAGTTAAGTCTATTTGATCTTTCCTCTACCTTGATTGAATCTACATTGAAAATACACTGACCATTCTCCATCTCAGCTCTTTTGTCTTGCAGAACATTGAGTATTCTATCAATGATCAGAGTCTGTACTTTACTAAAGCCCTTGATTTTATACTGGCCTAAGTTTTCTAAAATATATTTTCATACCAACTCTATCACAGTCATTCCTTAACTGTGGTTCATCATGCTAAACATGTGTAGTAGGTACACACACTGCTAGGAATTGCATCAGAATTTCATGAAACTGATAAAACTCTTCTCATATAAAGCTTGAACCATTTATTATCCTTTGTCTTCATTCATTGCACACACTGCTACACATAGGAATTCTGACAGGTTACATCACAAGCAACTTGAACACTGATGTATCATTGAATACAAAATATATAATATAACTTACACTTGTAAGTTTCTCAATATGCTTTCCTGTCACCATCAAGGAATGTGGTCTCTGGAAATGGATGCTTTGGGGTCTTCCAGATGTTACCATTCCTTTTGCTCATCTTCATGGCTTGTTTTGTGCATAAATTGGAAAGCATTTAGGGAAGATAAACATCCTCTTTCAGGTTTCAGTCATTATTATACTTCCTGAGATCACTGATTTTATCCTAATGGAAATACCTTTCACTAAACACATGGCAGTTATGATGATTAGGACAAGCCTCATACAACCTTAATGTTGATTTATGATTAATTCATATTAACTAAAACAATAATTCTAAAGTATCCCTCTTCTTCTGTCTTCCAGGCTTCTTGAGCACAGGGGATCAGGCTGCCAAAGGAAACTACGGGCTCCTTGACCTCATCCAGGCCCTAAGATGGACGAGCGAGAACATTGGGTTCTTTGGTGGTGACCCCTTGCGAATCACTGTGTTTGGATCAGGCGCTGGGGGTTCATGTGTCAATCTGCTGACTTTATCCCATTATTCTGAAGGTAACCGTTGGAGCAATTCAACCAAAGGTATTATGCAGGTTGCAAATTTTGACAATTTTGGTGTCTGCATGCCACCACCATCAGTACTGCGTGATGCTCTGTATATACTTCTCTGTTTCAACTGAGTGTTAGGTTGGGCTTGATAACTGTTTCGAGCTGTTTCTTTAGCCTTTCTGTGCATGTTTAAGTTTCTGTCAGACTCTTTTCTCTGTCTTCATGGAGCTGGGTAAGATGCTTTTTCAAGTCCACTTCAGAATGTTGAGTGTTATAGTCATTTTCTATTTCCAAAGGCTTGATTTGAGGGAAAATCAGACAAAGACTTTCAACACTGTCCTTTCTGCTTATTGAGTAGGCAAAATCAAATATTTTTAAACATAGGGACATTAGACACTTGAAGCTTTTCATTAGTTTGCATGCGTGATCCAAAATTGTCAAAGCATTTAGGTCACCAGTAGAACCTTTGATTACAAAGAAAAAACATTTAATTTTGTGGGTTTCTATTTTCAGCTCAAGTTTGGTGTTTTGGTTTGTTTTCTCCTAAAGCTTGGCAAGGCAGTATGGAACACTAGCCTGCTTTAGAACACAAATATTTTTCTTATTTCTATTTCCTGTACTTTGCCTAAAGTGCCTGCATCCTTATGACCGAATATTCAGTCACTCACTACAATTACATTATGAACAGGATTGCAATTCCATTATTAACTGGAGAGCTATTTGAAGAATTTCACAGAGTGAATACTTTCTATTATTTATATGTAATAAAGAAGAAAACAGAATACTCATCAACAGACCATCTGTGATTTTCTGCCTCCTAATTGTCATTGTATGTATGAGGAACACAAGTTATTCACTGTCAAGTGGAATTCATAGAGAATCTCAGTTTCCAGAAATAAAATATTTATTTTTTTAGTTCGTAATTATATGTATATTAGTGAAGGGGTGGCATGTGTATGTAAATGCCACTGTATGTAGGAGCTAGAGTCATCATAGGCTCTGATTTAAGAGCTAATATGTGTTTGAAAGTCATTTGGATAAGGGTGCTGGGAACTGAGCTCTGCTCTCTGCAATAGCTTACACTATGTATTCTTAACACATTTTTAGTTATCAAAGATATGTTAGGGTTCCAAGAGAACATTCAGTCATTAGTAAGCAAATTATATTTTATATAGACGTAATTTATTGGTATGGCTTACCTATGGCATCTCACTTAACTGTAGAAAGATTCTTATTTGAATATGATAAAAATGAAACATTTTAAATTAAGTAGCTAATGTATAAAATTGCTTACTTTGAAGTGATTATGTTTTTAAATTAACCAGATGAGATTCTTAGTATACTATGAGTGCTAATGTTTAGCTAAGTTAGCTTTACAGCCTGTACAGAACTCTTGGAATCATTTGAACAAGCACAGACCCAACAGTAGCATCAGCCAGTATTATAAGAGCATTGGATAAAGAAACCAATCAATTTGTCACATGTTCATCACTTGACAGGCCAGGAAGCAGTGGCAAATGGTTCAGCAAACAGCAGAGCATGTCACCTTCTATCATACACTGGAAGGAAACATATATTTATCTGATTGGAGACATGGGCTTGAGTTTGACCTAGTTCAAAACCTCTCTCAAGAGGTACCTAGTGCTACCAGGAAGGACACAGACAATTTTCTAAAATTCTCAGTCTCCCCCAAGAAAAACTTGGATTTTAAAGACTGGAAACCCACTGAAGGGCTCCATGTTGCTACAGTTTGCAGCTTCCCAGAGTCATCAACACCTCACACACACTTAACAAAGCCCCCTCACCAATGAGGAAAGGAATGGCTTCCTGGGATCATCCAGGCACTATGTTTCAGGTGATATTTAACACAAGTATCATTTATTTTTTGGTATATATAATGTCACTAAGTACTTGAGATAGGAATGAATATTATTTTTAAATGATCATGTTTATTTTACTCATATTTTCATTAGCAAACTATTCTTATGCTCAAATATCAACAGTTCTTACATCTGTTATATTGCCAAGATGTATATCATTTGCTTTGGTGAACTTTGTCCTATTAAAGCCAAGTCTATTCAGAAAACAACAAAATATATCAGCATTGTTTGACCTTTGAGTGTTTATAAATTTATCTAGAACATATTACTAACACATATTAATACATGTGCATTTTTGGAGAGAATTCTGGAACCAATTCATACATGACTTCTGAACTTTTGTGTAAAGAACTACTTTGTCCTTAAAATATGTAAGTGATTGAATATGTTTTTAAAATGAATGAGCACTTACCCAAATCTGGAAGTGGATAATAAATATAAATTCTTAAATAAAATTGGTAACCTATATTTTAAAAAAGACTGTTATAAGAAAATACTCTAGTGATTCAACTGTATTTGTAAATTTGAATAGCATACATCTGTTATCAAAATGAACATATCTTTGGAGCTATAATTTATAGTCCTTAAATGAGTCAAGTCAAGGGCACTGGCCCATATATGTGTCATGTTTTATGATAAAACACAGCAGCACACATTCAACAGTAGAAAAGATTTAATGACTCCCTACACAGTCTTCCTGATTATGTTTTCCTTCTAACTTAATGAAGACACTTCTTCAGTTATGTCTTCTTCAGAAATATGAGTTTTCATCATACAATATTTGGCATAGAAATCTGAAAGCAGTATGTCTTAAGTTATATTCTGTTTTGTGTGATGTCAAGGCCATCCCCAGGGTATTGACAAGTTCCCAGTCCTGGAATCTGCCTAAGGCCCAAACAACTATGTTTTTAAATAAAATCAAGTTAAAACAAACATTACACAATCATTTATAATGGAGACAGATATTTAGCCAAATTGAAGAAATATTGGGAATAGAAAGTACAGAATCTGTTGAGGGGCAAAGGAGTCAATGAGTCCATCCTGATGTTGTTAATTATCATGTATAATACTCATTAAGTAAAATATTTGAGTCCTTCAAATACATATGCTTTCTAACCTTACCTTTTCTCCTTTATGTGTCTTTCAGAGCACAAAATGTAGAATTGCAAATTAATTTACACTTAAATTGTAAGACCTTGACAAACTTATCTAGTATTTTATACCCTGGGGATGACTTTATGTACCTTCTGTTAGACAATATGTATCTGTTTCTTCAATTGTACTTGGGATTATATATACATGTCTAAAATATCAGATGTTCATTTGGGACCACAACACACTTCAATGATCATATGAAACTCTCTGTTTATTTTCCCGTAGGACTTTTTCAACGAGCAATAGCTCAGAGTGGAACAGCCCTTTCCAGCTGGGCTGTTAGTTTCCAGCCTGCAAAATATGCTAGAATTCTAGCCACAAAAGTTGGCTGCAATGTGTCAGATACAGTAGAGTTAGTAGAATGCCTGCAGAAGAAGCCTTACAAAGAACTTGTTGATCAAGATGTTCAACCAGCCCGATACCACATAGCCTTTGGACCTGTGATTGATGGTGATGTAATACCAGATGACCCTCAGATATTGATGGAACAAGGAGAGTTCCTCAACTATGATATAATGTTAGGAGTTAATCAAGGGGAAGGATTGAAGTTTGTCGAAAATATAGTAGATAGTGATGATGGTGTATCAGCCAGTGATTTTGATTTTGCTGTTTCTAACTTTGTTGATAATTTATATGGATATCCTGAAGGCAAAGATGTTTTGAGAGAAACAATTAAATTCATGTATACTGACTGGGCTGATCGCCATAACCCTGAAACTAGAAGGAAGACATTGTTGGCTTTGTTTACGGACCATCAGTGGGTAGCACCCGCTGTAGCTACAGCAGATCTTCACTCGAACTTTGGCTCACCTACATACTTCTATGCCTTTTATCATCATTGCCAAACAGATCAAGTTCCAGCTTGGGCTGATGCAGCTCATGGGGATGAGGTTCCCTATGTGTTGGGAATCCCCATGATTGGCCCTACAGAGTTATTTCCTTGCAATTTCTCCAAGAATGATGTGATGTTGAGTGCAGTGGTAATGACATACTGGACAAACTTTGCTAAAACTGGGTATGTACCTAAGGAAAGTACTCTGCCCTAATTGTAATAGCAAATACCTCTTTAAGTATTCTTGAATAACATATACATATTCTTAAATAGTGTAATATATTTTTGTTTGTTTGTTATTTGTTCTGTGATACTGGGGATCAAAACAGTGCCTTGAACATTATTGAACACATACTCCATCACTATAATACATTCCTAGTCCAAAGTAATAGATCAAAACAAAGTAGCATATTAACCTCATATAGTAAACATTAATTCTATATTTTACTGTTTTACAGTAAACAGTTATCACAATACTAGTTCTGCCTTTTTCATGTTTATACAGACTGGTATTCCTATTGTACTGCTCCCTGACAGTATTTCTTTGGCTTCTGAGGTGCATAGGCCATAATGTCACTGTTTTGAATGACAAACATTGTGTATTAGAACTTTCTAGTTCACAATACTGTATGCATTTTCACATTAATCTTGGATTCCATGGATTTTACTGTACATAGAAGGTTCTGAGGTTCCGGAAGCTTCAAACAGATACTTCCATCTAGGGTAGGTAAGCACTGTGATGATGTACATCTTTTCAAGTGCTGGTCCCAAGTTCTGAATTTATATTTTGATGCTATTTCTTTTGCACTGCCACTGATCAAAGTCAAACTGATTATGTGAATATTAAATTTTTTAATTTGTTCACTATGAACAGTGTGTTGGTGTATATGTGTATATGGTGTGTGCATGTGTGTGTATGTGTGTGTGTACACTCTTATGCACTTGTGATGTGTTTATGGGAAAATGAGCTGTGTGTACTTGCAGAATTTTGAGGATAACTTTGGTGGAGTTTATTCTATGCTCCTACACTGACATTGATTCTAGAGATTGAACTCATACTGGCAGGCTTGTCCAGCAAACACATTCACTGCTGAGCCATTTCCTGGACCAAAAATAATTAAAAGCACTTTGAATAAATATTAGTTTTCTCTACATGAACAGGGAACAAGAATGTGAAACTAATCAGCTTCATATTACCACTGACATGATTTTGTTTAACTTAAATTTCTAAGTAGATGCAAGTTAATGTTAAAACATAATTCAATGTTTTCCTACATTAACTTTTTGATTAGACATTAAACATAGTACTTTGACTAAGAAAAAGAATAAATAAAATATGTGTCCTCATAGATTCTTTCTTGTCTTTCCACCCTTTTCCCTAGTGATCCAAATCAACCAGTTCCTCAAGACACAAAATTCATTCATACCAAACCGAATCGCTTTGAAGAAGTAGCATGGACCAGATATTCCCAGAAAGACCAACTTTATCTCCATATTGGATTAAAACCGAGAGTTAAAGAGCATTACAGAGCCAATAAGGTAAATCTCTGGTTGGAGCTGGTACCTCATCTGCATAATCTCAATGACATTTCTCAGTATACCTCGACAACAACTAAAGTGCCATCAACAGACATCACTCTCAGACCTACAAGGAAAAATTCCACACCAGTCACATCAGCCTTTCCCACTGCCAAACAGGATGATCCCAAGCAACAACCAAGTCCCTTCTCGGTAGATCAGAGGGACTACTCCACAGAGCTAAGTGTCACAATCGCAGTGGGAGCCTCTCTTCTGTTTCTGAACATCTTGGCTTTTGCAGCCCTGTACTACAAGAAAGATAAGAGGAGACATGATGTCCACCGGAGGTGCAGCCCTCAGCGCACGACCACCAACGATCTGACCCATGCTCCAGAAGAGGAAATCATGTCTCTCCAAATGAAGCACACAGACTTGGATCACGAGTGTGAGTCCATCCATCCACACGAGGTGGTTCTTCGGACCGCCTGTCCCCCAGATTATACTCTAGCTATGAGGAGGTCACCTGATGACGTTCCTTTAATGACACCTAACACCATCACAATGATTCCCAACACTATACCAGGGATTCAGCCCTTACATACATTCAACACATTTACTGGAGGACAGAATAATACACTGCCCCATCCCCACCCACACCCCCATTCACATTCAACAACCAGGGTATAGCCAGATGAGAGAGACAAACTGATGTTTTTTTTCTGACGGAGTTCAGTAAAAGATTATTGGAAGATTCCTTGGCTTTCAACTCGGAAGACTCTCACTATTTAAATAAGGAGGAATATTATGTGAATATACGTATCAAGAACTTTGGGGGTTTTGAAAAAATGAATTGTATATAGATATACACACAAATCAACTTTAAAAAAAAAAGCAAATTCCAATTGCTTGAAGCAATTGTTCTGAATGATACTTGTTCATTCACTTTCAAGAATTAATTTGTTGAAGATTTAAGTTACATAATGGAGTTAGGCATGTGGAACACCAAACAGGAAAGTACTGTGTCTGAATACTTTAAAATCAGAAAAACAAAAACAACAATAAAATCAACTATGAATATGCACAAGGGACACACCAATGGAATGTCAGATAATTTCGTCAGTTTTCATTTGGAGTCCTTTAATTGTGTAGACCATATTTGCTTAAGTACACAGAACACCTATGCTGTTAACGGCATAGCAGAAGCTCATGCTGAAAATTGCCAGTAAAACAAAGAAGTTTAAAGACTGGCAGGTACAACATTATCACATAAGTGCTGTCAGTACTAAGTCGTGGGGATCAAGGAGACTGGATATTTTTAGCACGATGTGCATGATAATTTATATGCTTGGTGGCTGTGCTGCTGATTAAGCCGTAATTAAAATTCTTCTCATCCCATTGGAGTTTTTAATAGGAGCTTCCTCCATCAATTGGCAGAAACTAAAGAAGATTTTATAAGGGGCAAAAGTAATTACAATAAAATAATTTGCAGTAGTTTCGATAATAGAGGGAATAGTTATTAAAGTCTTGGGAGAAACTAGAGGTATAGTGATGAATACTCACTGATATGAAACCCAGAAAAAAATTCTATGAGTTTTATATTCTTTTCATTCCCTTATATGTAATTTATAGAAATACAACTCTAATTGGACATGTGTTAGCTACGGAGCTAGAATTTGCTGTGGGTTTGTTACTCTGAAGTTTGTTCCTTTCAGTAACAGTCTTGCAAGGTGTAAGGATGCCCCAATAGTACCACTCTGATTACCGTACTCAGTCGATTGATTTACTCATGCTGCATGACAAAACGTTTACTACTAAGAATTCAATAGAAAGCTCAGTCCCTCTTCACATTGCTTCCTTCTTGCTGAAGGTCACTTGAATTTACTCATGAGATCTCAGAAGAAGAACAATGTAGGTGCAGAACTTAGGAGAGTCAACAGCTGAAGGGTTTGTCTTTCACATATGTGCAATTTCAAATAAATTCTCTAAGACCACGGGAATCTCTGAGTCCCCTATCGTTTACCAGTAACATCAGTATATCACAGACCTTTCCAAATGTTTGTATATGTAATCAGATGTACATTTATATTAAAAAAACAATGAGATGGACTTAAAGAGCACATCCTGATCAATGGTTTCTCTCTTATCTGTACTATATTTCTATTAGACTAAAGTTATGTGATTTTTTTTTACCTTTTTTCAGACGACTAGCAATTTTGATAGTTTGTAAGATAACGAAAAGGACTTTCTCTGACTAACTGCAGTAACAGAAACCTTTCTTTCCAGCTACCCTTTTTCAAGAATTGAAAGCTTATTATACAAAAGCAAACACTTGTATACTACTTGGTGGGAAGGACATTGTGAATCTCGACCACATCTGTGGTCCTTGGGTGAAATAAAGATAATATGGAGAATGGTGATTAGTCAAATGCTAAGAGACATGATCTTTGCTCATTAAAGAGCTAAAATGTTTATTGCTGTTTTGTGTTTTATTTTGTTTTTACATAAAAAGAAAAAAGAAATGAAAAGAAAGAAAGAAATCTAAAACAAAACAAACAAGATTGTCTTGGAGTCATTTTTCTAGAACAGTTGGGTTTAGGAAGACATATAGGCAACTGCAGAGAATACAACTGTGAATGGAGATTTTTGGAACTTTATTACTAACATAGAACCAGGAACTCATAGAAAACGTTAACTTTGTAATTTTAAATACCCCTTCCCCTAGAGGTCGAACAAACATGGCAACCATTTTTTTTTCACTTAAAAGCAGAAGTTTTGATATTGCCCATCTGAGGAAAAGTCAATTGGAAATTGGAGGTGAAGGGACATTATTTCATGAGATAAGATATCTGCTCATAATATAGGAGTTGTTAGCATATCATATATTTGAAAAAAATTCTTCAAGTGAATTTGAAAGTGGTAAAAATGATATTGAGCTAACATTAAAAGATAAAAATCTACTTCAAGAAACTTATTTGATTTTAGCTTCTACTCCAACGTACTAAACATCAATAAATTTAAGTATTGTTTCACTTAAAAATATAAGCAAAGTCTTCAAAATCCAGAGTCCTCTACTTGCCATTGATGAGTGACATGCTCGTACTTTAGAGAGTGTGTTACCACTGACAGGGAACCAAGAGAACTGTGTAGTCTCTGAAATACTGTTTAACTCCAAACTGTCTTTTAATATCCTAAAAAACAATAAGACTAGAAAAAAAGGTGACAGCAAAATGCACTGTGAATGAGTGCTTTCATATGCAGCAATTACTTCATTTGGAAAAATTATTCTACTATGTTATCGTGGTTGCTCTGTTTCTGTCTTACTGTAAAAACATGCTACATCTCTCTAACATCTACTTTTTGACAGTACAATTCCTGCTTCATATTAATTTAGAGAAATAGTTAAGAAAATAATGCTTAACCTGATTGTTTTCTAAAAGAGAAGGAAACAAAGCAGTCAAATTTTAGGGCTGCCCTCCTGGGGTGTGGTAAAGGTATTGTGAGTCACTGTAAGTAGCTAGTCTAGTTTGTTTTTACAGACTGTGGCTTCCTGAACATGAAATTGTGTCTTGCACAACCAGAACTAACAACTGTTTGCAAACTGAAATATAAGTTTTATGTGAAAGCAAAAATTTGGCATTTTCATTTGGTTTTATCTAATGTGTTTGGATTGTGTTTATATAGAAGATAATATCCTGTTAGGAGAAAAAGCTAAACTAAAGTTAACAAACATTGTAGCATTATTTATTAATTCAGATTGTCTTGATTGAAATTAAATAGCAACAAATAAGGATAAGATTATTAGAATTCAAACTGATAATCAAGCCAAAATAATTTTTGCTGTTTTTATTTTATATAATTCTACCAACATTTATGAAAGATTTATGATGTTTTCCATATAAACCTGGAGATGTTGAAATGGCAGATTTAATGGTTTTAAATGTTATTGATATGTTGAGTGTGGATCAAATCTAGTTTACTATAAATATTTAATAAATTTGATCACTAACTTTTGTGCAATATTGAATATAATTTTATGAATCATCACAAATTTCCAATTTGGAGATATTTTTCAGCTCAAAGCAGATATTATTCCATTCACTTTAAATCTAAGAACATACATTAGTGCATATCTGTGGACACATATTAAAGGCTTACAATGTACACATTTTTAAAAATTCCCAACCACATGTCATACTAAAAAGGCAAAATGCACAGTGCATAACAGTAATTCTGTTACAGAAGTAGAATGTCAGCACTCAGTTATTGTATACTTAGAATGCCAGTAATTTCGCCTGTTAGTACAGTTGTATTGAAGTGCATGTGAACATCCAGAGAGCAGGGCAGATGTTTCTGGCTTACAGGCATCAGAGTTTCTGAATCAATAACATCTTTTCTTTGCCATGTCTCCTTAAATTATTTTTACAAGAATAATGAATGGAATTTCTAGGAAGCTGGCAATAACCATGGCAGTCCTCTTATAAGTTTGTTTACTTCTTAGTGATTGGTTCAAACTTCTGGTTCTTTATTTTAAGTAATTAGTTGTTTTAGACTATCACTTTTCAATGTGAGTGAATATTTGATAATTTGGTTATACTTGCTCCAAAATAAATCTAATTAATGGCTACTTTCTGCTGAGATTTGTTATCATTCACTTAATTATTTTGCCAAGCTTACTGTTGGAGCAGTTGTCATCATCTTTTAATCAATATAGTAATGGAATGTGTCCAGTAGCCTTCTTCTTCTCCTTTACCTGACATGTCAACAACACAGACTTCAGCTTTTCATCAAAAGTCTAGGCTCCCTCCTCATGTGATAGATTGGGCTAACTTGGTTCATTCCTATAAATTATGAATTGGTTTTATTATAACACTTAGCTGTATTTTTATTTAGGCCAAAAATCAATTCAATTTGTTTAGCACTACAGAAAATACAGAGTAGAAAATCCATCTGCAGTGCTTAAGTGCCTACTCATTTTGATATTTTGCTTAGAATGCATCATTTTGATTTAAAATTTGTAGCTGCTGATAATGTCATTTAAAAGATAAAATAGAGAGGCTACGATATTAATTGTCAATAAGGGAAGTTTATTAGGAAGTCCTAGGTTTAATTTGATTTTATATGATATCAAAGAAGTCCAAATATCCCTCTGAAAAGACTGAGTTAATTTTTTGGAATAAATGGTAAATATTTTGGCATCTGATTTTAATGGTACTTAAGAATGAAACCTTACAATTCTAAGAGACTTTCATTTTTTTTTCAGAACCAGAGGTGGTGGTACATAGCTTTCTTCCCAGTACTTGGGATGCAATGGCATATGTGTAGAGTTCAAGGCCAAATTAAGTTAATATATGTTACATAGTAATACCTTGTCTCCAAAGAATATTTCAAGTTGGTAAAGTTATTTTAGAAGGAGATAGTTTTTATGAATAAACACATTAGAGACATATCTAATTTTTATCTAGTCATTAATTACATCCTATATGGTATACATACTCTGTATGCAATGTGTATTATAGCATACATAGGATGGTTCTTTCAGATGTCTACCTTTATATCCTCTAAATATGTACAAATGAGCCAGGAGTTAGCCCTCTGAAAAACAACAAGCCAAAGCTCTTGCTTTCTAATTTAAATCAATAACTATTGATGACTTAAGGAAACCTGTAAGTTTCCAAGTACAAAACTTCAGCAGCTGAAGTTCAAACAAAGACACCTTCTCTAAATGACATTTCCAGAACTGATGGTTCTTATATGGGATAATTAAAGGAATTTTAGTGTTTCTTATCATTCCTTCCCTGAAATCATATTGGTCAGCAAATCATAGGGAATGTGCCATACTTTCATCAGGTTGGGACAGCTCCACTTGTGTTTGGACACCCATGTCTCTCGTTAAAAATGGATTTGTTATCATGAATAAATACCTTCATGATTTCTCAGTTGTACTGACTTTTTAAAAGATTATAAATTTTTCTCTCTGCTTGGCACACACATTGTAAAAT